AAGAATCAGAGTATATCATCTAGTTTACTAGTAACGCCCATGCCTACTTAATTATCGAGGCAACATGCAGATCGGAGACAGTTGAAACTATCCGACTGACCGTTGACGCCGCTAAAGCCTAGAAGCTCCTTTAAAATCGATATGAAGGAAAAGGCAACTTCGTTCTCACAAAAGTATTTGATGATTAGCACGCTCTATCACTTGATCCTAAGGATATTGCCGCCTTTAATATACATTTCAAAAACATTAACTCACAGTTATTAGGAGCTGGGCTTGATGTTCCCCTAGTAATGTCAATGCTACACTATTTAAACATTATGCAAAACACGTTCCCGAATTAGGCGGACAAATATAGGGGCAAAATGAGAAAATATCAGCCCGGAAGCATGCCCACAATTGAAAAGCTCGATGATCTAATGGATCGTCTGCTCGAAGAAAGCCGCGCCCACGCTGTCGAAAACGATAGAGCCGTCGCTCTGTATGGGAATCAACCGCTAAAAAGGGGCGGTTATACCGGACGACCTAGCAGACGTGGAGGCGGAGGCGGAAGAGGAGGGGCTAGACAAGCCTTAGCCTTAAGACCGCGAGAGACCTGCGATTACTGTGGTCGTGATAGGCACTTGGAGGCCAAGTGCTAGAAGAAGAACCTAGACTTGAAGCCACCATATATCAAAGCTATTAAGGCTGCTTGAAAACCCGATGCAATCGCCCTGATAGCGGCTTTTGTCACAAACGGATTAACTAAACGTCATGACTAGATCCTAGACTTAGGGGCAAGCCATCACATGTACCATGATCAGAAGCTATTTGAGAATTACGTCCTAAACAAGAGCTCTGAGCGGCTGATAGAAACGACTGGAGGCATGACACAAGCAGAGGGGGTAGGCGTAGTCCGCCTTACTCTTCTTACTTCAGACGGCATAAAAAACGAAGTAAGATTGGAACAGGTTTACCACTTACTAGAACTTACTGTCAACCTGCTATTAGCAAATAGAATCGGCCAAAAGGGGTTCTATATCGATGGCCTTACTCAAACTCTCCGGAATAAACTGAATAGAGAAGAGCTTTACGCTTTCGAAGCCACCAGTTCTCATATGAGAATCTTAACAGCTGAAGCGTCAATACAGGCCTTCGCTGCTAGCGCTCCGAAAATGAAAACTGAACCAATTCAACTCTGGCACAGGAGACTCGGCCATCTTAGCACGGACAATATCATCCGTACAGCCAATTCCACAACTGGTATAGCCCTCAAGGACGTACAAAAGAAGAATACGGCTTGCTTTTTAGATCAAGAAGTTAAAAACGGCCCGCTAAGTGGCCTGCTAAACAAGACTATATGCAAACTATGCGTGAGTGCGAAGTTGCTACGGACGCAATCCAAGAAGCCGCAAGCACGAGCAGCACGAGCTTTTGATCGAATCCATATCAATGTGATAGGACTGCTTAAGCCAAAGGGCATTGACGGATCTGAATGGGCCATCCTCATGACAGACGATAAAACCTGCTATCGCTAGGTCTACCCGCTTCAGAGAAAAGGAGACGCTCACCGAGCGATTGTCAACTTCTGCGAAATGATGAAAACCTAATATGGGTCCTACCCAAAAAGCCTCTGAATGGATAACGGGACAGAATACGGAGAGAGGGCTCTTAAAGCCTACTGCTCTAGAAGAGGGACACTAATTGAATTTACAGTGCCATATACCCCTAAACAAGACGGAGTCTTAGAAAGGACCAATCGCACCATTACTAAGAAAACTAGAATGATGATTATTAAAATCATTAAACGAAAAGCGCAGCTGATCATAGCTTTGCTCACTAATGATCAATTGAAGGCTATTTGGCCTGAAATTATTAAAACGGCGGTCTATATTACGAATCGCACAGCTACTCTTAACTTAAAAGCCACCCTAATAGAGCTTCTTTACTCTAAGCAAGGGGCAGCACTCAAGCCCAATCTCTCACATATGAGAATTATCAGCTGTAACGCTTATTACCACATCCATAAGGGAAAACGGGTACAGAGCGCCAAATTCGGAGATCGATCTAATATTAAAATTCTTATTAGATACGAAGGTAATACAATATACCGGATCTACAACCTAGAAAAAGGAGTGATTCGAGCTCCAGCGGTCGTCTTCGAAGAAGACTCTACATCAGTAATCCTTACTGCAGTTAAGAGCGATGATTCTGACTTAGAACCCCTGAAACATGAAACTGATGGCGAAGCCGTTCAGCCCATATTCCCTGCAACTATGGGAGATCTCATGGCAATTACACACGAAAATGACAGGGAATCACTAAATCCTAACGTAAGACCCGTTAACGAAGACACTATTATCGTCTAAAGACGAAGACCTGTCTTACAACCCCCCGTAATAGAAGAAGATGACGATCAAGACGAGATTAATTGCCAACTCTAATTATAGGCTAATACTGAAAGTGGTACCTAACGAGGGGCGAATACAATCGCTCGCCGCTCCGAGCGGATTCAACGATCCGCCGACGCACGCCAGCCACGCCTCTAAGGAAAAGGAAGCCTTGAAGCCAATTACTAGGCTCTCGATCAAAGGCATTGGGCATCCCTTTCAGCACATGTTACAGCATTCACTGTGCACCTACCGTCTTCAACAGTAAAAGAGCCTACGACTTACCAACAGGCAATATCATGCCGAGAAAGTGAGTATTGGCAAGCCGCGATGACGGCCGAATATGATTCTCTCATTAAAAATGAAACCTAGCACGAAACGGAACTGCTAAGCGGCACGCATGTGCCCTGTAGACAATGGGTATACGCCTTGAAATGGAAAGACGGTCACATCGAGCGATATAAAGCACGATGGGTTGCGAAAGGCTTCGAGCAGCTCTACGGAGTCAACTATGAACAAACCTTCGCTAGAGTAGCCAAAAGCGTGGCTATACGAATCCTCATTGCACTCGCTGCTCATTTCGACTAGGAGATTGAGCAAATGGACGCTATCACAGCTTTCCTAAATAGCCGCCTCGATGAGAACGTTTGGATACAATTACCAACGGGATATGAGAACGGCACCCGCGCCTGTCGCCTAAAGAAAGGTCTATATGGCCTCAAACAATCAGCGAGACTCTGGGCTCTCGAAGTGAGAAAGCTCCTCGGAGAGCTCGGATATCAAACGATACCTGCTGACGAATGCCTATACTGGCACCTAAAGAAAGGGGTTTACGTCGCCACTCACGTCGATGACTTCCTTATTCTAGGAGCTGATATCAACGCAATCCAAGAGCTGAAGAATCAGCTCTCAAACCGATTTACGATGAAGGATCTAGGCCAGTGCCATACCTTCCTCAGCATCGAAATATCAAGAAACCGAAAAGACTGAACGATCCACCTATGCCAGAAGAGCTACATCGAAAAGGTGCTTCGAGTCTTCGGAATGGAGTCTGCAACTAGAAAAGCAACTCTAATGGAAACGAACGGGACACGGATACTAATGGCGAATATGGAACAAGCCTTAGAAGAAGACATTAAGCTATTCTAATCAATTATCAGATCGCTGATGTACGCCATGATCTAAACCCGACCTGATATTGCGTTTGCGGTCTGCTTTCTGAGTCGCTTTTTATCAAACCTGACAGCAGCACACATCCAAGCCGCTCATAGAGTACTACGATACCTTGGGCACACGAAGACCCTCGGTGTCACCTATCATGGAAAGGAGAAGGGGTTCAAAGGCTGCTCCGACTATGACTGGGGCGCAGATATCGACACCAGATCATCGACTTCTGGTTATCTATTCTTCCTGCACGGGGGCGTTATCACCTGGAAAACTGGGAGGCAAAAGACAGTCGCTCTTTCGAGCACAGAAGCAGAGTATTATGGGCTATCTAATGCCACGAGAGAAGCTCTCTGGCTCCGGAGCCTACTTCGAAGCCTCAGATACGACGAAGGCCTCGATCCCGTCGTCATTGAAGGCAATAACCAAGGCAGCTTGGCGCTGACTGAGAACCCAGAGTTTCACCAGCGCACCAAGCACATCGATATTAAGCACCACTTTCTACGTCAGGAAGTGGACGAAAAACCGGTCGCTTTCTCATACGTCGAAACAACCAAACTGGCCGCTGACGGCCTGACTAAACCACTCAATGGCCTGAAACATGCCGCTTTCGTCCAGCAACTCCGATTGGAAAGCTGGGTTCCCACAATACCGGTCAAAGAGTGAGGGGGCGTGTGGAATTCTCACTCCGTGCCCGGCATGGGGCGGCGATGCCGCCCAGGCCGCCAAGCGCCAACCCGGCGCCAACCCGGCGCCAAGCTCAGTATCACCCAACTGAGAAGATAAAACTGGGCACCACTGCTCCGAGACTAGCTCGGAAGCAGAGTTTTTCTGCTATATAAAATAGTTACAGTAGCTAGATTAATAAAACATGCTTTTTCACGGATCACTGTTCTGAACCTGGTTGACACGCCCGTAATTATCATATTATTCTACACTACGGACCGCTACTATCGCCTAAGTTCTACAGTATTACGCTTATATTCGCAACTCACTCGCAACGAGACTCGCAACCGGGTCGCAACGCCTACTACAGTACGGTTGCAATTCGCTTACGTCAGCCGCCCTAACATGTCACATATTTACCGCTCGCGAAGCGAGCGGCACGCATCTCGTATTAATACAGAAGGTTCTACGTAGTCAATTCCATTAAGACCCATCCTGTGACTTCTACTGCCCTGTTCGCCAAGACCTTTCTTACAGTTTTTTTGGCATTTTTTTTGGCGGGGGTGATAGACGCTTTAAATGAAGTTGTTGGGCATATTCTCTCCTTTTTTTGTTTTAGGAATTGCCTAGTGAAACCATAAGATAACTGGATTTATACCCCTGTTTAATATAACGGTCATAATATGATACATCACTGCACCCAAGTTGGGCGGGATTGCGTTCAAATTATCATATTAGGCCGTAGTTCAACTATAATATTTGGTATATTATATTTCCTAAGTCTTACCCATCAACAAAAAGCGGGGCGTGTTGCCAGAGTGGTTAATGGGTAAGACTTGAATGCTACAATTCAGTTATCTTATGGTTTCGGCCTCGTAGGTTCAAATCCTGCACACGTCGTATTTTTTTTTTTCTTTTTTCGTTGTGTGGTATGTTTTGTTTTGTGAACGAACATAAATGTTATAAATGCGTGTATAGTGCTAATTATGCGGGTATAGGCCTATGCTGATAGGAGTACCTTAGCGCTATTCTGAAATTTAGGTAGAATAGGCGCACCCTATTTTATACCGTAGTTTTTTTCGCGCTCAGTAAACAGGTGTTAATTTAACGTTATACTAAATTAACACCTGCTTACTATAATTTTCTCACAAGCCTATATAATACAAACGGCATTACTGGTACTGCCTTTGTGCGGCATACATGTAGCGCAGTGAATGCAGAAAATAAAGAGTTTTGTTGGGGTGTTATCGTTATCGGCCTCGCTAAAGGAACAAATTACCTCTGATTCGTTACTACCAACAGTTAGTAACGAATCAGAGGTAATTTGTTCCTTTTCACTTCGAAATCGCTCAGTGGACCTGCCGTTGTTGTAAGTCCCTGTCTGTTTACCTGATTCGTTCCTTCTCACTTGCTCCTTCTTCCTTCGTGAAAGCAACATGGCGCATTACACGAAGCCTCCGTCGTGAGTTTTCAACCTTCTGCTTCTTCCCACTTCCATCTCACTCATACCTCGTTCTAGCTCTGGATTCAGGATACTCGAGGATTCTAGTACTCATACTCGAGTAAGACAGTTGTATCTAAGCTGTCGTTCACCATCGAAACAGACGTTGCTGATTTATATGCGACGAGGCCTTCATCGTGAGTTCCCCTCGCCTGATTCTTCCCATCTTGATCTCACACCTCGTTCCAGTATTTGTGAGATCAGAGTACTCGAGGCACATATTCTCTGGTCAGGTAAGATAGCTCACATTCGAGTTGTCGTCTAATCATCTAACCCTTGAAATAGACGCGGCCTGTTACGCCGGATGAAGCCTGTATTGTGAGTTTCTGATCTTCTGTGTCTTTTCATCTCCATCTCATATTTTGCTCTAGATCTTCAATCGGAGCTCACAGCTTTGGTATTCTCCTCCGGTTTATCTACCTATGGTAGTTCTTCGTCGTAAGTTTCCAACTTCTGCTTCTTCTCATCTCCATCTCACGATTTGACCCAGTTCTTCAGTTCGGAGCTTGTAACCTTCAGTTACTCGGCTCAATTTCACTCTCTACTTCAGTTTCTTCGGTCGGATCTCGCAGCCTTCAGTGTCGCTGGCCTTGATTTCAACATCAGTTCAGTTTCTTCGGCCAGATGAGCTTGCAGCTTTTGTGTCCGCCTCGGCTTCACTTGTCGTAGCTATTCGGTCGAAGCTTGCTCCATTTAGTTTTTCTCTCGTCAATCTCATCATTGGTTTTATTTCTTCGGTCGGAGCTCGCAGTTTCCGTGCTCGCAACGGCTTCATCACCAGTCCCGATCCTATTTTCTCCGGTAAGATAGATCATATTCAAGTTGTTATCTGATCTTCTAACTCTCAGAATAGGCAGGGTCTATTTGAGTCACTTTACGACCATGGACGATTACGACAGCGACGACTTGGAATTCGAGATTGCTCCCAATCCTTTCGCTACTGCGGGGTTGGAGAGCATCGAGGCCATTATTAGCCACGCAGCAGAAGACCGAATCACATCGAAAAAAAACCACCAAACAACTGACGTTTGTGGAGGCTTCTAAAAAAACGGAGTATCTCACTTATTTATGGTACAACCGGTTCATCGCGTTTAGGACGAACACATTAAGTAAAAGGTAAGAATAGGCAGCGCCTATTTACTTGTATTACAGTTACTGTCATCTAACATTATATAGCCAAGATGTTACACCGACCGTGGAGGAGCTCGAACGGTTCCTCTGTTCGATCGTGTCGAAAGTCAAGCCGAAGAGCAAGGAGGTCCCCGCCTTCACCTGGTTGCGCGGGGGCTTGAGAAGACTAATCGTGATACTCACATTTCAGTTCGTGGATTTCAAAGTGATGCGCCATGATTCTTTGCGAATCAAAGTCATGTTCCAGACCCTGTTGAACGATGGCCGCATTACGAAAGAGCCCTCAAGGGTAGTGCAATGGATTGGAGTGATTCTCGTCCGACGTCTCATTACTGCCATCCTTGAAGATGCCATCGATAACGGGTCTACGAATTGGGATAAGACACTCCAGAAGGCTCTGTCGCTGTTGTTAATATCTGCACTGTCGTGCAGGAGCGGCGATATAATGACGTCGACAATGGACACGCAAAAACTTCCATTCCTCTGTTATGATGATATAACCATCAAGCTTGTTGGTGGAGATGGACTTGAGCATCTTCAAGCCGATGTTCTGATCCGGAATGAAAAAAAACGCAAGTAAGTGATTCCCATCGAAATAGACCCTGCCTATTTGTACTGACATTGGCACAAGACATGATCCGAAGAAGAATCGCACCGTGCGCCTACACTGCCTCACTGAGTCGCGAGACAATGTCATGTGCCCCATCAAGATGCTCATTGCCTCAGCGATGCGACTTGGCGCCATCAATGGGCGTACGATTGAAGAGGTTCTCGGGGCGATTCGACGACGACAGGACAAGACTCTGCAGTGGGCGGATGGTCGAGGGGACAGCCCTGTTCTATGCGCGTTCCACAACCAAACCAATGCCGTCGTCACTGACAAAGCGGCCGAGGTTCGCCAGGTAATCAACACCATCCACACGACATCGTTGAAGGCTGGATTCTGTGCAGCTGTCACGCCGCATGATATGAGGCGAGGTGCAGCAAAGGACGCTGCCCATTCGAAGCACATAGCGACGGGACTTGCTACTTCTGCAGTCGCTGCTGAACTCGGCCAATCTGCACACTCATTGAATGCAGGCATCACGGCCGCCTACGTCGGGGCGCGCAATGAAGACAGCCGGACGAAGAGGGTGAATGCTGGATTCGACGACCCGTTTGGCATCAATGTCACGGATACTGCATACAAGAGAATGAAGATGACTAAGGTCGAGATGAACAAGCTATATGCTGACATGGGGACAAATACGTCCAGTGCCAATGAGAGAAGAAAAGCAAGGCGGAGACACGAGGCAGCTCAGGAGAAGGCGTGGAGGGAGAGACAGGGTGGCCAGAAACTACGTAAGATATTACAACACCGGTCTTCTTATGTTTCTTTCTAACTTGTTATAGCTCGCCAGCAACAGACGCCAGATCAAGCCGACCACGGCAACGCCGGAGTTCAGAATGCACCACAACCCTCTGCAATAGGCGCCGCCCATTCTGATCATACCACGCAGAGCGCAGCGGAGAACATAATTGATCTCATTGGAAACGTGGAAGGCGCTAAGGAGAACGAGGAGACGGCACAGACTATCCTATTCACGGAGACGGAATGCCCGATGGAGCTCTCTCAAGAGCTTTCTACACTTGGGACGGAGTTCGTGGATTATCTCACCCACATCAATCTGATCAAGCACGGCGTTACGACACAGAAAGAGGTAGACATAATCATAGGCAAATATACAGGCAATTCTCGCGACGATCCAGCGCCGTTTCCTCACAAGTGTCCCAGATACAAGGTGTGTGGCTACAAGTCGACGTGGCTACGATATGTGGTACGGCACAGGGTTCGTTGTTGCAAGGCCTGAGGTCGGGATAGGAGAGCGAAATATACAGTAACAACATGAGAACTTTGGAAGTATATAATAGGGAGGGTCTATTTGCACACGGAGAGAGTTATAACGATGGCTAGAGCTGGGATGAAAATCGCTCAAAATGATTATGATAACTATTCGCAATATGAGATAGAAGGAGACAGATGGAAAAAAGAATATAGATAATCGGAATACAAACGCTATTACAATATGCACGTTACTTTAATTGATTTATTCAGATGGCTGGCACGTTATAACTTATTTGTAGAGTGTTTGTTTTACTGGATAGACATCGAATTCATCTTTGCTATTTTCGTCCCCACTATAGCTCAAATGTAAACAATCGGAAACGTGCAGATGTGCTTGAATAGGCAACGCCCATTCATACAAACAACGAAAACCTCAAATCCTTCTTGCCTGGCTATAAACCCAACGAAACCCAACGAAACTGCGTGAGACTAGGCCAGAGAACGCCAGAGAGACCGATCGACGCCCGAGATTGCCCCAAAGACGCTCCATGACCTCCACGAGTTCTTCCACCATAATGTCCGTCCCCCCAATCTTGTCCTTCAGCGCTCGAATAACATATCTTATAACTCCATAAAAGGCCAATTTTGCGTGATCTGTATCAGGAGATCCACTGTAGGCCTCCCAGGCGTCATGGGGCCCATTAAACATCATGACGTCGCCACAGATCTTCTCCAGTTCTGCATCGAATCTCTTCCCAGCGGCCACGATCTCTTTCAGTTTCGCTAGTATAACAGCAAAGAGGGCATTGTCGTCGTCGGTAGGAATGGGGAGCGTCCATTCGGGGGTGGTGCGCTTTAGGGTGCCAATGATTCGGCATACCATTGCTGTGTCGACTGATTCCCCAATTGAGATACGATAGCTCCCTTCAGCAAGAAATCCCCGGACAAGTCGGTACTCGAGATAAGTTCCATCTCCATCTTGGATGCCCTTTCTGAGCTTGAGGACAGAGTCGACAGTCACATCCTCGACTTCGGGCCACATTTCAGTGACCTCCTGGACGACCATTTCTGCGTCCGATGCATCGAATTCGTCATGACCCTCCACGAATTTCCTGAGACCAGCATTTTTTGGTAATGGGCGGAGATTAAGATCCTCATCTGCAGCGGTGAGCAGCTTCTGCATCTCCTTGAGATGCCATGCATCCTTTGACTTTTGGAAGGCCCGCAGCAAGCACAACAGTTCGGCTATGAACGACTGCTCTGGTTCAAGGACAACCTTTGCAGTGTCCTTCGCCTTCTTGAGGCGCTCTTGTTTGAGACTTAGACCACCGTCGCCCGGTCTCACCGATATTGCTGAAATGGCCCTTCCCCATTTTGTAGGACGTTCCTTTATCGCCGTGGTGGCATCTCTGAATTCGTATCGATAGAAAACCCTGGCCTGGC